GTAGTTGTAAACAGCATGATAATATATTAAGTAATCCAAAGTATTCAGAATACGTTACTCTCATTGCGTTACAGAATACATTTTGGGGCATGTATTCTGTATTCTGTAATGGAATACATTTTAAAAGTAACCTTCCCAACACTGTGTATAAGGTTAAAAATGTAAATTTCAGTGTCAAAGCTGAATTATTCTGAGTTACAAAAATAATTCTCTGTCCTCGTGTCACTGAGCAAAGACTCCGGAGACTAATTCCGTCATAGTTACTGTCAAGTTATACTTTTTACCTTGATCGATCACTCTGGGTACCTAAGCGTTGTTTGGAGGTTTAAAATAAAAAGATAGACCTGGGAGCTTTGACAGTCATTTGTAAAGTGAACTCAGTCTATTAAAGGCTTTGGATGACTGTCTGCTGACATTTAGACAAACACAGGGACAGAATTTTTAGCCCCTCTATGAAAATTTCATTTAAAAAAATTGATGTTAAACAGAGTAAGGTTTTCACGCAGCTTTTCCTCTGGCCTATCCCAGCAGTCTTAGGGTGTGAGGCACCCTGGACAGGTCACCAGTCTGTCGCAGGGCTAACACAGATAACTATTTAACCTAACCCCACTAACTGCATGTCTTTGGACTGTGGGAGACGTGGGAGTACCGGGGGAGAACATGCAAACTCCACACAGAAGGACCCCGGCCTGATGGTGATCCTGAACTCAGGATGACTTTACTCACTGGCTGCAGTGCTCAAGAGTAATATTTTGTGGTGGCTGTGCCTTTGAGAGAATTCAAAAAACAATTTTGATTCATTACAACCTCCCATGGCTCAACACTGATTTAACTTGGCAAACGAATATATCCGTCCTAAGCAGCTATATTTTCTGTCATTTTATTTTAGCTGTAATGATTTATAGTAAATCAGGCTTTTTGAAAAGCTGCAGTCTCTCATAAATGATGAGTTCTCTTCCAAATCACCAAAGTTGCAAAGTTAGCATGACCCATAAAGCTACAACAGACATATTAATGGTTAATTCACCAGACTGAAATAACCTGACATTGGCCTTTAAAAATAGAGAAATTTCAGTTTAGTGTGGATGTGGTGATACAGAAAGTCCACGAAAGATTCGTTTTAATGCTTGTTTTTAACTTGAATTTTAGTTTGGAACTTAATTATTTTATAGGAAACAAAATGTGAGGAGCATATCTGGATTACACTGTTATCTGAATGAAATAACTATATGATGAAATTCCCTTTTTAATATTACATTTTCTTCTTTGTAGCAAGTATTTGTGTCCAGAACAGCCGAGGGATTAATCACAGTATCTGCTGTGTTTTTGTTAGTTTTCACCTTTCAGACTCATCTGCATCGAATGCCTTTGACAGTAAAAGCAAGCATGTAGGAGCAACGTAAAGAGGTATACCTGTCCACACTGATAGCACAGAGGTTAAATATTGATGCGGTGCACAGCATCACATCCATGGTCATCAGGCCATCACACATCAGCATGTTTAAGGACCAGACTCCACCCTGAAACTGCACACACATAAACAAACACAAAAACACACAAACCTTGAGTCAACAGAAACTCACTGCAAATATTCCCAATCCTCTTGTCTTTGTGCCAGAGTGGGTCACAAACGTTCCTGCATGAAGCATGACTCTGTCCTCTGATTTCTTCGGTGAGCACAGTAGGCGTTAACTTTCAGACAGACTTTCTAATCCAGTGACTGCATGTGGACAAAGCACTGGTGTGAAGATTAACTGGCTGTGACCACTGGCACAGATAACAAGATCTCAAATGCAGCTAGTTAAGGGGGATTTAAGGGGAAGCCTCAGCAGGGCGTCTCTATTATATTTAGACAGGCAAGCATGCAGGCAGGTGGCTCCTGATACTGAAGACAAGGCTACATCCTGTTCTTTTGCCTGCAGATGTTGTGAATTATGGGTCGTACCTTTTCTCAACACTAGAATAAAGCTCCCACTGTCTCCCCTCGGTTTTTATTTATCCTGATGAAAGACGAACAGCCGTCTCTGTTTTATGATGGTCTTTTTCTGATGAGTATAATTAGCTACCGCGCTAAGAGTGTTAATCCTCCAGAATTGTTATAATTAATAAACACCTGAATTCAAGACAACAGCTTTCTGTCCACTAGTACTTTAGGGCTCACACATTATTAGAAACTGAAGCGTCACATTTTGCATCTTTTTGCAGTCGTTTTGCCATTTTCTTTTGTTAATCATTTTACCGATATATGTGCTGATTTTGTCATTCTGCAGTTTCTTTTGTATCTCTGTTTGCATCTTTGTTATTTTGCATCTGCGTGCATATATTTGGAGTTGTTATTTTCTGTGTTTCCATGCTTTTTTCTTTAACCTCCTGACATCCACATATGTGGACATCACATTTTGGGTTGTCTAGACCAAAATACTAAATTTTGCTCTACAAGGGCCTGATGTCCACTAACGAGGACGTTTTACTGACACTGTTCTAT